ACTTACATGAATCATAATAACAATGTTAACCTTTCCTGAGCCTTTTACTCCTGCAACCATGATGGTTAAAGAAATCCATCCAGCCTTATGTGTTCTGAGAAATGGCTGAGAGCAGAAAACCACTCTTCCACATATGACTGAATTAGATAGGACTCAATCTTGTTCCCCGTTTTTACCTATAATGAGGCCAGACAGGGGCCTTTAAATTCCATTCTTTGCCTCATAAAAGATTAGCTGAGCTGTTTGTCCCTACTGTTCAACTGAAATAAAGTGCTTGTAAGTTGACTGAACATTAATTAAGCTTCTCTCCTTTCTCCAGGCCCCTGATTGTGACCCACCTCCTCCTGAGCTAGCACACAACCCCCTAAATGCTCCCTCCTAAGAAGCTGTAGGCCTCAAGGAAAAACATTCCCTGATGATCCTACTTCCTCAATAGCCTGTCTTTCTGGCCCTGTTGACACTTCCCCATAAAGAAAATTCCTTTCTGCCTGGCCTTTGAGATGCTGGCAGCCCTACAGGTGGATTGTTCTCCCTAATGCAAGAGTTTCCTTCCCCTCATTGCAATAATCCTTTCAAGCAAAGTCTCCTTTTACCTCTGTCTGGGTTTACTTTTCTTTCATAATACAAATTACCAAATTGTTTAATTGTGTGTCTAGATACTCTACTCCCTTTCCCCTGATTTGTAGCTGCTTTTTGGAACAATGACAATGGTAGATTCATATTTGTGTTCATAATCTGCCTGGTCTCTCACAATTCACTATGGTTGTTTCTACCAATTTTTGTTTCAATTTTAGTCTCTGAATCTGTCATTGTATCTCTCTGTCTACCCCATTTCCCTTCTTTTTCTTCACCTGCTTGTCTCTTTGAGGCCAGGCTCCTGTTCTCAGTTTCTGGAGAGAAACTGGAGAAAAGGCAAAGCAGATTCCTTCCCTGAGCCGGGCAGGCTGCTGACTCACGTCTCCAGCCCAGACTTTGGCTTCCTCTGTGGCAGAGAGAGCTCAATTTATCCTTTGAGCAAGAAGTTAGAAACTGGTTTCACTTTTGTTTCTGTTGGTTGTTTTTTCTTAAAAAATAAATCAGCTGATTAAAAGGAATCATCTTTCTTCCTTTTCCTTTCTTCCTCCCTCCCTCTCTCCTTTCTTTCTTTCTTTCTTTTTTGCTTTCTTTCTTTTTCTTCCTCTGTCCTTCCTTTGTGTTTTAAATTTACTGCAGATAGAAGACTAACATTGATCTGTGTGTGTGTGTGTGTGTGTGTGTGTGGACAAAGGTGGGAGGGGGTGAGCACAAGATAATGAACACAGCAAAAACAGGATGAGGAAGTGACAAATAGAAATGGCAAGCAATAGGATATATGGGAGTACATGAGGAAGCCATTTGGTGTAAACCTAATTCGGCCTGACGTTGTTTTTCCAAAAGGGCCTGACTGTGGCTGTTGAGCACGCATTGTATATCTGCTTTAGACATTCCCTATGGCAAGAAAAAGGCCCTTGAGATAAAGGTGCAACTTCCTTCCCCCTCCCAACATTGGCATTTCCTTAAAGATTGAGCATCTTTCCTTAGGCTAGGAACTGATTGCTGGGCTCACCTGTGACCACCCAGCTGGAGACAATAGACTTGCCTCCTGTTGCACCCGCTGAGATAGCAGACCTACCTGCTGTTTCCATCTATTGCGACAGCGCAGCCTCGTGACTATTGTAAAAGGGACATTTCAATCATATGTGAAACACCCTGTTTGGGGGTATATAACCACTCTGTATACCTCACTTCTTTGGTGCCCTTTCTTCCTTCGGGAAGAAAGGCCCCAGGCCATGGTCCTCATATTTTAGCTCAGAATAAACTCACACAAATTTTCATTTATACATTGGTTATGGATTATTTTCGCCGACAGAAGGAATTTGGGAGAAGAGACACGGGCACATTAGAGTTTCTTCCTCAGAGAAAGTGCTTTAACTGTCTTGCTGCTCTAGTTCTCAGGTCACCTAAGAACAAAGAGAGAAGCATGCTCCCAGTGCAAATAATGTGAGTTTTCATTTCCTGTAAAAGACTTTTATGCCAGAATTAGCTCTTTTTCTACAGTGTTTGATTTGAAAATTAGCAAAGTTTCCAACATCCTATTAGCTGATTTGGATGATTCAACACAAAGTGAAGTAAATTTGTTTTTGTTTTTGCTTTTTCTTTGAGGAATATTAGCCCTGAGCTAACATCGGCTGTCAATCCTCCTCTTTTTGCTGAGGAAGACTAGCCCAGAGCTAACATCTGTGCCAGTCTCCCTTTATTGTGTATGCAGGTGGCTGTCACAACATGGCTTGATGAGTGGTTTAGATCCATGCCTGGGATCCGAACCTATGAACCCAAGCCACCAAAGCAGAGCATGCAAACTTAACGACTATGCCACCGGCCAGCCCCTCAATTCAATTTTTACACCAGCCAACAAACTTAGAAGAGAAGAAGGGAAAATTTTTCCTCCCCTGCCTCAGGCTCTGTACTCCTGACCCAGTTCAAGTTTCTTTTTATTTGTGTAGCCTTCCATTAATCTTCGAGTCGAGTTAGTGCCTCTCTTCTCTGTGCTTGCAGTAGCATCTGTGACTCACATGAATCATAATAACAATGTTAAACTTTTCCTGAGTCTTTCACTCCTAGAAAACAGGATAGTGAAAAAAATACACCCACCCTTATGTGTTCTGAGAAATGACTGACTGCAGAGAACCAGTCTTCCCCCATGACTGACTTAGATAAGACTCACTAATGTCTCCCTTTTTTACTTATAATGAGACCAGACACAGACCCTTAAAATTCCCATTCTTTGTGTCATAAAATGTTAGCTGAGCTGTTTGTCCCATTCATCAATTGAAACAAAATGCTTGTAACTTAGCTGAACATTAGTTAAGCTTCTCTCCTTTCCCCAGGCCCCTGAACTTTGACGCACCCTCCTCCTGACCTAGTACACAACCCCCACTTAATTATCCCTCCTAAGAATCTGCAGACCTCAAGGAACAACATTCCGTGATTATCCCACTCCCTCCATATCTTGTTCTTTCTGGCCTTGTTGATATTTATCATTCCTTTTGTATTTGGAGCTGCTCTTTGGACTTGCTGGACTAACTATGGAGAACAGCTTCTCCAATTAGAAACTCATCCTAAATTCCTGGCTGTAGTCATTTGGGGGAATCCATACAACTTTGATAAGGAAAACGTGATGTGGGCACCTTTTATGCCTTGCAAGCCCATTTTTCCTATTTCTTCTCCTAAACTGTGGTCACTGTTGGCTACTTATCAAATATTGGGCATTAGTTGGCCCTGTTCATTTGACTGCTCTGTATGAGAAACTCTTTATCTGTCTCCCTGTCATGGTCCATCTTTCACATTGCATCCTGAAACTCGTATTTATCATTTGCTTGTTGAAAAAACTTTGAAACTCTTCCTTGGTTTATGGTATGATCAAATTACTTGGCCTTGGCATTTAAGATCCCTCCTAATCTGGCAACGATCAACCTACTGACATTCACAACCTCTCTCTTTCCTTTCTCTACTTCTAGTACACTTTCTTTCCTTAGAAACTACACTCTGCCATCTTTCTTCAACCTCATAGTTTTCTCAACCCTGTATTTTTAGGAGAAACGGAGTATACCACCCCAAAATGTACACTTTTGCATGTGGATTGTTTTGAGCTGAAGGAAATTAAGATCCAACAGACTCAGGAAAGGGTTTTTATTTCTCCCTTAACTGCCTGAAAGGGTTTGGATAAGGGAACTGTACCAAGACGGGAGCTATTACCAGAGATAGTTTTTATATCAGAATGACTTATCTGCCTGGCATAGCAAATATTTAGTAAACATTTTCCTGCCCTTTGAAGCCCAGACTCTTAGCCACTTCTCCTTACCTCAGGATGGCATATAAGCCTCAATTGCCTGACGGCCTTTGAGTCTTCATGTCTTTATGTGCCTCTTGTATGTACGTAATTAAGTTTTGTCTTCTCCTGTTAATCTGTCTTATGTCAATTTAACTATTAGAACAGCCAGTCATCATTCCTAACCCAGTTCAAGTTTCTCCTTATTTGTGAAGCCTTCCATTTGTCTTCCAGTTGGAGTTAGTACCTCTCTTGTCTGTGGTTAAAATAGCACCTCTTCCTTATGTTCATCATAATAACAATGTTAAGCTTTTCCTGAGTCTTTTGTTCCTGGAAGACAGTGATGGTTGAAGAAATCCATCCACCCTTTCCTCCTCTGGGAAACAGCTGACTGCAAAGAACCACCCTTCCCTTTGACTGGCTCAGATAAGACTCACCCCTGTCTCTCTTTTTTTACTTATAATGAGGTCAGACACAGACTCTTTAAATTCCCATTCTTTACCTCATAAGAGATTAGCTGAGCTATTTCTCCCACTGATCAATTGAAACGAAGTGTTTGTAACATGACTGAACATTAGTTAAGCCTCTCTCCTTTCCCCAGGCCCCTGGACTTTGACCCACCCTCCTCCTGACCCAGAACACAACTCCCCATTAAAGATCTCTCCTAAGAATCTGCAGACCTCAGGGAAAACCATTCCCTGATTATCCCACTCTTTTCATACCTGTTCTTTCTAGCCTCGTTGACATTGCCCCATAAAGAAAATCCCTTTCTGCCTGACCTTTGAGATGCTGACAGCCCTATGGATGGATTGTTTTCCCTGTTGCCATAGTGTCCTTCCCCTTATTGCAATAATCCTTTCAAATAATGTCTCTCTTTACCTAAGTCTGGATTTATTTTTATTTCATAAGACAAGTTACCAAATTATTTCATTGTCTGTTTAGATACTGTACTCCGTTTCCCCCAGATTTGTAGCTGTTTTTTGGAACAATGATGATGGCAGATTCCTATTTGTGTTACTAATATAATGTAATCTGCTTGTGTCTCTGACACTTCTCTATGGCTATTCCCACCAATTCCTGCTTCTATTTTAGTCTCTGAGACTGTCATTGTATCTGTCTGTCTACCCCATTTCCCTCCTTTTTCTTCACCTACTTGTCTCCTTGAGGCCGTGCTCCTGTCTTCAGGTTGCTCCAGAGAAAACAGAGACAAGGCAGAGTAGATTCCTTCTGTGAGCCGGGTAGGCTGCAGACTCACATCTCCAGCCCAGACTTTAGATTCCTCTGTGGCAGAGAGAGCTGAACTTATCCTTTGACCAAGAAGTGAGAAACTGGTTTCAGTTTTGTTTTTATTGGTCACTGTGGTTTTAAAAAAAAATATTCACCCGATTAAAAGGAATCATCTTTCTTTCTCCTTTGTTTCTTTCCCTTCTCTCTTTCCATTGTGATTCCTCCATTTTAAACTTACTTCAGATAGAAGACTAATGTTGGGCAGGGGAGTGTTTGTGTACTAATGGTGAGGGTGGTTGAGCACAGGATGATGAACACAACAGACACAGGGTAGGGAAGGAATCTGGGAGAAGAGAGCTGGGCACATTAGAGTTTCTTCCTCAGGGAAAGTCCTTTAACTGCCTTACTGTTCTAGTTTTCAAGTCACCCAAGGACAGAGAGAGAAGCAGGTTCCCAGTGCTAATGAAACACGTCAGTTTTTATTTCCTGCAAAAGACCTTTATGCCAGAATTAGCTATTTGTTTACAGTGGTTGATTTGAAAATTAACAAAGTTTCCAATACCGTAATAGCTGATTTGGATGATTCAACACTAAAGTGACCTAAACTTTTAAAAGGGTATAGTGTGTTCACGACAAGAAAGAGAGAATTTCACTGTTCTCTATCTTTTATATTAGAGCTTTTTAGTATTGTTATTTCTGACAGTTTTCCCTCAAACCTAAATCCCATGTAAAACACTTTGTTTTGTTGATTATCTTTCTCCATGGTCTAATTCATTATAACATTGCTTGTAGATAGAGACCTCCTGCCTCATGATTCTTCCTCTATTTCAATCTTTGTATGTCTGACATACACATATTCTTCAAGGTAAACCTCATACTCATTTTTTCCAAGTTCCTCAAGAGATGCTACCCACATCATCCCATCTTTCCCCCTGCCTCTCTCAGTAAATCTGCACAACTCTCCCTGCAAGGACTTACACTGAGCTCTTCTGGGCTGCTCTCTCACAGCACTTACTTCACACTCTTGTAATGCTCCTATCACATCGTGCAGCCTTGTAGCTGTTTGCTTGTTTCTGGGAAGTCTCTCAACTCCTAAAATTCAAACATCCCATCTCCCTGTGCTCCTCCCTGTTGGGCGGGGGGCGGGGGGGGGGGGGTGATCTGTCATTTTCATCTTTATATTCCAGTCCCAACACAGTGCATGAACTGTGTAGATGACCAAGAAATGTGTGATGATTGAATAGGCAAATTAGCATATCTGTCTGAGCTTGTTTCCTCAGGTATATGTGAGGATACTAAGAGCTATTTCAGTGAGTGAACTGAGGAACAAAGAGGAGGTAAGGGGGCTAGCTTAGTGTCTTACCAATAAGACTTATCTTTTCCACTCTTTTCCCTGAGAGTAGGATCATAGGTGTTTTCTAACAGGCAAGTGTTTTAATATGAGAGAAAAGTTTGAGTCCAGGATCCCATAGTTACTAGCATGGAATTAAAACCAAAGATGGAGTACCCCTAAAAGAGAAAGACAAAATGGACTCTGTGTGGCTAACCAGGACCTAAAACAAAGCAGAGTCAAACAACCATGCCATAACTGAGGTGCAGTCATGTACTCTGCTCTCAGAAGAACTACGACTTGTACCTGAAACTGAGCATTCCTTCCTAATGGATGGTCAGAAGCCTGATATAGCTGATTTCAGAACACCCATATGTATAGAGGAACCAGTAAATCATAGGGCTTTCAAAACAGTGCATGTGGTCCATGGGTTTTGCCTTTATAAACTCTGCCCTCCCACGCCCTCCCTGGAGCGCACTTTTGATTTGTTCTGAAGACTGCATCTCCCTGGTTGCAAACTGTATGAGGAAGAAAGCTTTCCTAACTAAATTCTCGTATTTTAGATATTGTTGTCAACACTAACTATATTTACTTAAGTCTTGAGTGTGGGAAGGCGACTTAAGTAATGAGATGAAGATGAGTGGTGGAATGAATTCATGTAGTAATACTATCTATCTCACCTAACATTAATGAGCATAAAATGACATAGGTTAATCTTGCTCAATTCCTGGCTGAAGTAGATATTCAGATATGAATTCTTTTCTCCCCAGCACATAATTGGTTTGAAGATCAAATCTAGAACAAGAGGCAACAAGGGGAATGTCTCCAACTGCAGTGTTCCCTCAAGTGTTTAATTTGAACCTCTGAGCATTTCTGCATGTGTGCCACCATCTTACAGTTCTTGGGGGATTTTTGTGCACTCTTATACTGGGTCTTGTGTGAGTGCCTATGTCTCTCTATTGCTGTGCTCTGAGTCTACAGATGATAGAGTCTGTGTCCGATCTTCCTCAGATTCTCTCACAGTGGGAGCACATTTTCGGGATATGGTAAGATCTCAGTCGATGTTTTATAAATTAATAAAAGAAGTAAAGCAGTCCCATGGCCTCAAAGTCAAATGCACAGCAAGTTCACTCCACCCCACAGCTGCTTCCTGTTATTGAGGTCAACACCAAAACTGAGAAAAGACTTTTGGTTTCATTTCTCAATCTCATCTCAATTTCCAGAAATGCTTGTTTCTAACACAAGTGTTTGTTAAATGATCAATGAAAGTTCTTCATAAGCTGTTTCCTCTAGGCTTTCCTGTTTCTTTTTTTCCTGACAGTTTCCTGACTTAAGTCCCATTTGAAAAGTTCTAGTCTTATTCTGAATAAATCAAAGGAAAAGAAATTCACTCAGACCTCCCCAGGGCTACTAGAGAGAGCCAATCACCTAGGGGCCACCCAGAGCTGGGACAAGGGTGAGGCAAGAGAGGCAGCTAGGGTGCAAGGGAGCTTGAGAGTGAGGGAGTGCTTAAACTTTGCTCTCTAGGTGCTGTGGAGGATCAGAATTGGGCACACCAAAATGTGTCTCTTTGGCATGAGGATTATTTTGGACTACTACTTTTAAAAAACTGCAGACAGGAGAGATGCTTTGAAAACCAAGTAGAAGCTACCCTTTGTAAGAGATATTTAGATTTGTAAGAGAAATCTCCATTTGTAAAGATGTCTCCCTCTCTATACCAGGAAGAGGGGATGACCCTATCTCTAGAAACTCTCATCAATGTGGAAGGCAAGAACTTAAATCCGAATAATAACCCTACTCTTGTTCATTGTGTTTTTCTAGTGATCTCTCATAATTGACTCCTCCTCCACCCCAAACATCTTCCTTTGTCTTTAGCTTAAGATGCTATTTAAGATGACAACCTTGGCCATTCCTGCAAGTTACCCAGTTTTCCTGGGTTTCTCCCATGTTTACATGTTATGAAGTTGTGTTTGATTTTCTCCTGTTATTCTGTCTCATATCAATTTAATTCGTCAACCACCCAGAAGGACCTAGAGTGGGTAGAGTATCGGCTTTCCTCCCCTACATTGCCTCACTTGCCTCACCCTCCTTCTAGACCTACTCTTGGCTCTGACTAAAGTTCTGTGGAGTGGGCCAATCCATCTCTAATCCACTGCTTGGAGAGAGAGGAGCAACTGAGATCACTGGGTCTTTCCTTCCTGGCATCTCTCCCAGATCCTTTACTCCAGCTGCTTCATCTTTGGCTAAGAGAATATATCTTTTAAGTGACTCTGTTAGCCTCTTCTGAAATCTGGTGAGAGATACTTGTCAACAGAGAAGGAGAGAGGGAAGAGGAAGAAAAATCAGAGAACACAGTGAAAGACACAGAGGCATCAGATCCTGCCCTCAGTGGGCTTCTCTCTCTACCTGTCAGGGTAGTGTCCTGCTGCAACCAGTAAGGCGTTGCTTGCCAGAGGAGGGAGAAAGGAAGAGCGCCCTCCTTTTCTCCTGTGAGCCCTGTGTTTTCCTGCTTCTACTGTCTGATCATAACTCTATCCTACTCACTTCAGAAAATTTGAGTTTCTGAACAAATTATCAGGTGGCATTATCCTTGCAGATGCCAGGCATAAGAGAATTAGGGTTTATTTGTCTAGTTAAGACATAGCTATTGTCATTAGTCCCCTTAAAGTCAAGTATTTACGTGGAAAGCAGACTCAAAGTCCCATCTCACTACCTCCTAATTGTATGATCTTGGGTCACTCATTTAATCTCCTTTTTTCATGGTGTCAATGAAATGAAAGAATTCCAGTGCCTAACCTGAAGTATGGGCTCAAAAAAGTAATTCTTCCCATCTCTTCTTCACATTCAAGTCCTGCTTCAAGGATACTTTAGCGTAAACTCCATCTCAGTCTCCTGTGAGAATGTGGAAACCAATTACGCAAAACACAAGATGGAATTCAAGGAAGCTTCCACCACCAAGCCAGTGGGAGAACCTCCTGTAGCTTTCTAGGCATTTTGACATTTCCTGTAAGTGATGGTATTGAGCACTCTAGAATCCAGGATAAAAATACACTGATGGGGATCTAGAAGAATAAATGTAGAAAATTTTTAATGGATAAGGATTTAGAGTGGTCCCCATTGTAGAGAACCCTGAAGGATTTCAGCATGGCCAGGTAGAGTACAAAAAGCATTCAAGTCAAAACCTTAACTTAGGAAAGTGACCTCATGGAAATGGTAGAGATAGGCTTAAGGAAAGAGCTTTCATAAATATGACAGTAGTTGTGGACTTCATTGGCCCTGAAGGGGAGTCAACTGCATTCTAGTACCACTGGTGAGTATTGAGAGCATTAGAAGAGGTTACTAATCACTAAAATTACCCCTGGGGTTTGAGGTCATGTTTGAGGAGGAAGCTGATCCAGGATTTTTGTTAGTTTGGCTAAATCAAGACTTGGAGTGGATGTAATTTGGGCTTCCACTTTAGGGGAATACATTTGAACCCTCAAATTCATTAACCAGACATTTGTTTACATATACAATTCAAGCATACCCTGTTGGTTCTTCCACCAAAATATATCCTGAATCAGGCCACTTTTGACCATATGCATCACTAACCACCATCCTAATTCAACCTACTATCATCTCTTTCACGGAGTGTTTCAGTAGTCCTCTAACTCATTCCCTTGTATTGATCACTGTCATTGAACTCTCCTCCACTCCTCTCAGTCTATTCTCCACACAACATCCTTGCAAATTGAAAGTAGAATGTCACACTGCTAAGAAATCTC